GAGAGAGAGAGAGAGGGAGAGTGTGCTTTAATGGGTAAGGGAAGATTGAAAGGGTAGTTTAGTATTTAACATATTAAGTTTTTGACTCGGGGGAGGGTAAAAGCAAGAAAAAACAATAATTGAGTTAAAGGTGTGACGTGAAAAGTATTGGATGTATACAAACTACATTTAAAGGGGGTATTGGGGTTTCTGTCTAGTTTGGACTTACTCTTGAATTGTCCTTCTTTTCTTTGGTTCGGATGGGACTTCCGAACACCTTAATACTGTACATGTTAATTTCGATTTACTATTAAAAGTTTTGGCATGTGCCTTCCTTTGGTGTTGTGAAAGGGTTTCAAGGAATGGATGTCACTATGGTAAAAGCTTTTGCTAGTTGTTTGCAGTTCAACGGTTTGATATCTACGTTCTCTCATCCAACCACCTAAAGCTTTTGGTACATATAAACTGCCAATATAATGGCTGAAACATGGTGAGATTCTATTGTGGTGCTGCCCTTTCTTGGAGGTTTTGGCAGCTATGGCTGGATATCTTTGGTGCAATTTAAGTATGTGGATATAATTGTTTCGTAACTTTCCAGGTATATGATTTATTTGGTTGTGGGTACACAATAACATCAACAGTGGTGGGAGACTTCATGAGATGCTCAGTGTAGCCTACACAACAATGGCTTTTGTTGCATGGAATCCTAGGCATGTTTGCCCACACTCAGGCGCTTGTGGAACACTTGGTTACAATTTAGAGATGAGAATGTCTTTGCTTTACAAATTCTACAACTTGGATTCATCAGCGGTTCTGGGTTAGAGTATTTAAAACAACCTGATACCCTACTTCCTACACAACAATGACTTGTGTTGCTTGGAAATCCTAGGCACCATTGTGTTGGTTTCTATGCTGGGCAAAGCGACGAACGATACTTTATATTTGTGCTCCTCTTGCTTTATTTTTAACTTGATTCCTGATTTCCGATTCCTGATTCCGATTCATACGATTAAAAAGCTTAATTGAGATTGGTGAGATTGTGTATGAGTTTGTAATTGCAGAGAAAGGGGACCAAAAGGCTCCTAAAGACGAGGAACCATGAGTGCTTCCCTCCACTCCACCCCTGCTCCCCCTCCACCTCCTCTCCTTGCTATTTACCAAAACTACATCCACCTATTCCGTAGCCATCCCCTCCCTGTTTCCTCCCCCCCTCGCAGCAACCTCTCACTCCCCCTCTCCCTCTCCCTCGTACCCGTCTCCCCTGTCGTCATTGCTGAGCGGTGATTTGATTATTCATCTCCAAGTCAGTAAATCGTATACCCTCGAGGTGCTGAAAATCTCTCTCGTGGGCCATTTTCATCCACTTAGAGCTGGCCTTAGGGGCACTGAAAAAATGGGTCAAAAAATCTTGGAACAAACCTCACCTCGAATGCAGATCTTTACAGCGAGGGGGAATCCTCTTCTCCTTTCCCTTTGAGGAGGCGGCGTTAAACGCCCTACGAATTTCGATACCCCTTTCAAAGGGGCCTCGCTTTCTGTTTCTAGATGAATCTCCAGCCTAGATGCCTTCCTTTCTCGACATATCTGGCTTCAAGTGTTCAATATCCGTCTCCATGCTTGCACCCCTGAAACCTACAAGCTCATTGATGATGCTTGTGGTGGTTTCAATAGCATCCATTGGTTGGATCCATCCAACTGCTCGTGCGCTACTCCCAGGAGCTTATTCCTGAAACTATTTGGATCTCCTCCAATGGCCTTTACTATAGGATGTACTTGGCTTGGGTTCCGACTTCTCCGCCCTTAAGTCATCTTTTCTGACAGCCACTTCATCCTCGCTCCACCAGCAGGCTATAGTTGCACCTCCTCCTCCGAGATCCCAGGAGGGCTGGAACCTTGTTCGTTGGAAAGATCATAGCTAGAAATTCAAGCCAGCCACAGAGTGCGTTCTCACCCCCTTTGCCCTCCAGCCAAAGCTCTCGGCATCAGGCCATCCCCGGCAGCTACATGGCCCCATCATCATCTGCCATAGACTACTTCAATCCAAGGGCTCGAGAAGGAGAGGTCCAAGGCCCGGGTTCCCACCCCTCCTCCATTGGATGAAAGGTCTTCCTTTCTCAGCTCTGGCTTAGGCTCTCTCCTTTCGGTGTCCTCCTTTTTGTGTAAGTTGTTGAGTAGCCTTTCTAATCTAAGCCACGCGCCCATCCTCGCCTTTTCCTCAGGCCATGTGGTGAGCTTTCCTTCATCTTCCTCTATCTATCCCTCTCTCTAGCGTCTCTCTCCATCCCGTGTTTCCTTCACATCCCCCTTTAATGGCCCTTCCCATGCATCTCATGCTAGCAGGACAAGTGTTCCCTGCCCGCCCCCCCCTGCCCGAGGGGCCAGCTGTACCCTCTCCCTCTTCTCTCGCCCTCCTTGTTGGTCCAATCCCTGGCATCCTGCTTACCCTCTACTCGCCCCTCGTGCGGCCCCTCTTCCCTTCGAGCGTCCCTTTCTACGACCCCGTTAGGAGCCCACAGATCCAAGTCGCATGCGGCTTCGAAGTCCTCAGTCTCCCCTGCTCCTGCTAGCGCTCCACCCTTCAGGGGTAAGGTGTCGCTCCTGCTCCTCTTCTCCCCTCCTCTCCAGGCCGCAACATCCTCCTCATAGTTCCCT